CAGGGTGTCTCACATTGTTGTACCAAAACCAAGAGTTCAATGGGTTGCAGTATTCCTCCCTGAGTGTTTTTCAATGATAATTTAATTATTCTTTAGTTAATATTCTGATAGAGTACAGTAACTTGAAAGTGGGCCTACATAAACAATTACAGTCAAAACAGCTGTTTCCTTACATTGTTGAATAAAGCTTTTTGACGGTTCGAAACTGGACCCAGCTGTTCCTGATCATTGGGTTTTAAATAAATGATCCTGACTAATGAAACAGCTGATCTTAGTCAGTAACAAAGCTACACAGGTCATCACACACCATTCTACACTCATCTTTCACTCATATTTGGGTTAAAATACGCACCTAGGTGGCGTCCCCATCTCAATGATTGATAATTGATAAAATTAAGACTAACTTGTTTAAGCTTTTTGACTATATAGACTGTTTTAAATATCTGGAATCTGGATAACTCTAGCCCTACACACGATTTCGGTGTACTGTGTAATATTTACAATTACATATTTTATCAAGTATATGTATTTATATGTATTTTGGAATTAAAACATCATTAATCTTGAATTTCTGTTGCTCATGAATTAAACAAAGGAGCTTTTTTGGTCCTCTTCAGCCTTTCAAGTGAAACTTATAAAAACTATGGACCGACCCTCTTTTGATTCTTTTTATAGTTTCTAATTTCTTCCTTTTCTCAAGTACAATTATATTTGGTGAAAATTGGCAATACACTATAGCCAATGTAGCATGAGTAATTTGGAAATTCCACTTTCAATCATTTATTTCTAATTATTGCCTGTTGCTTGAAATTTAAGAAATACTTAACAAAAGTGCTTGTTAAATAATTTGGGAGTTCAAATAATTTTGTGGTCTTAAACTAAACTTTTAGGAGGAGAAACAGGTTACAAAATAACTTCTGCTGGTTATAGAAATCGAGCTTCTGAAATTTTAAATGAGGCTAATAATGTCTTTTCACATGATTGTTTATTTAGGTTGGGTACAATACTAAATAATTTTTTTCTGTTCGATTGTTGTAAAGCTGGGTTTTCCTAGGCGCGGAAGCGGAGAGAGGAACGCGGAGAGCGGAAAATAGATTAACATCCGTTGTTCCGCTCCACCCCTAGGAAAACAGTATCATTAAATTGCCTAAGACAAGTGGAGTCCGCTCTCCGTGGTACTCTCTCCGCGCCTAGGAAAACCCGGCTTAAGATTTAAAAAAAATTATGAAACCATTTTTTTACATATAGACAAAAAAGTAACACCATCTATTACAGAGCTATTTTACATTACATGAAACTGTTTTAACAGGCAGAATATTTTAAATCAATTTCTCATTGTGGGAGAAGTGATATCAAAACAGTACAAATTCTCATTGCTATTAGACCCATAATTTGTTTTCTACGCAAAATCTACACATGTTAGTACTGTGAATCAACAAGTCGTGTAGCCTAATTTTTACTGTCAAAGACTGGCAAGATTTCAACCCAAGAAAGCGCCTATCACTAAAACAGCCTAACCAAAGTACTTAGAAGAAACAACACCACCTCCTTGAAGTTCAACGTCAAACAGAATATTAACAATATTTAAACATGAACTTTAATAAGATAAAGATAACAGTGAGGCAACTCAGATATAAGCTTTCACAAAAAAATAGATTGTTAAAATGATTCAACAATTGTTATATAACTATGAAGTAATCATAATTATCTCAAAGCCAAACCTAGTCCTAGATAGATTAACATTTTTACATTTCACCCACACCATTTTATTCTCTAAACATGCCGATATATGAAGAAGATAAGAAAAACAAAATTATTAAGACAAAAGAATTTAATATTAAAGCATGGTTTTGCATAGGTTTGGTGACAAAACTTGGGATTAAAGGCATTTCAATTTATTACCGGTACCATACTTTTTCCCCTTTAGAAGAATCTCCAAACAGGAGGAGTAATAGATCAGCAAATATTCATCAAAACAATCCGAGAAAGTTCTCGTTTTTAGGAATCAAAGTGAATTTTCTTAAAGGATTGGCAGCAAATTTCATCCAATTGGATTGTAATAATAATTTATTTAAAAAATGATTCAAACACATTTTCTTCATAGGAATCATTTTATAGCTCTCCTCCATAGCCTATGGAGATTTCATCAAATTCTCCTGAAAAGGGGAATTGTCACGAATTTCCATTGTAGGGTAGTAGCTAGAAATTTACTCTTTTAACCATGGCAGATTCTCCTTGTAACATGCAAGTTTAAAGACATTTTTCTAGACAATCTGTTCAACTATTCACAAATAGGTAGGCCTACTTAAAGAAACTACTAATTATTATGTATTAAACCATTTTAAAAAGCAATTTCTCAGCCTCAAAGCATTACTCTTCTTTTCTCCGCTTTCAGAATTTAAATTTTGTGACGCAGCAATTAATAGAACATGTTTACTTTGAGCTGATTGCAAGATTGACACCAATCATTTGGTCACTTACAATTAAATCCTTGATTGGTTTAAGACGCAGACTAATTGTTTCCTCATTAAGTAGCTGTTTCAATTTCCAATTACCTCTGGGTTTCCCTTACGATATTTAGGCACATGCTCTCTAATAGTTCAAGGTTCTGTGTGGGACTTAATTGCCAATCGTTGGTAATTAATTCAGATTTCTAGTTAGACAGACTTTCCATCCAATGCCACAATTTAGTGCAAGTAGACAAATTGTCGCGGCTTGTTTTAATAAAGTGGACGCATTTAGTGCAAGTAGACAAATTGTCGCGGCTTGTTTTAATAAAGTGGACGCGTTATTTTAGTCATTTAGAAAGTTGTTTAAGTTTATTTACTTGCTCTAAAATCATCATGCCTTTAACTTGAAGTGACGACAATAATGTTCCCGTGACCGGAGCCTATGAATAATTTTCCACAATCACAATAATTAACTTAAAAGCGATACCTAATGTTTCAATGACCACAGGGCATGAACAAGAATACAAGAGGAACAACATGAATGTCCACAAAACCATGAGAAAAGGTCACTATATTACCGCGATAACATTGCAACCGATTAGGCGATGGCAGGGCCGAATTAAGCAAGAAGACAAATTAACCGAGGTCTAATTAGCAAAGTTCTACTGTACTGCATGTAGATTTGCACTCTCCCTAAGAGAAAAAAAGGTACAGAGGAAACCTGTCTGTGTAACTTGTTTGATATGCTACAACCGTGCGCTTTCATCTCTAGTAGGTAGGTATTGCAGAGCAGAAAATAGCCCGAGTGGCGAGCACTGTGAGGAAATTCTCATCGCACAGGGTCTTCCTCCAGCGCGAGCATTGTAAATTAGTACATGAAGGCAAAGGGGCGGTGTTGGACTTTGCCCTGCACACCAGCGACTAGTGCTAACAAAAGACAATACTTAAATGTGCCATTGAATTTTTGCTCTGTACCGGTACCTACCTTACTCCTCTGTAGGCCCTAGCTCTCCTTAACTTACTCAACCACACTCAAAAAGTTCCGGTTCCGTCAGGGCCGATTTAGGTACCGAATAGGCACGTGCTTAGGGCGCGAGGCAATTGGCTTTTTCGGGGGGCGCCAAAAAGTGGAAAGTAAAATATTGGGTGATTGTATTTGCTTACGATCGCGTTAAATTTCTGATAATCCCTCGCGGCCGTGTAGACATCGTAATCTCTTCCGTGATTGTGGAAAAATTCTACTATTTTCCACGGTCGTGTAGACATAATTATCGTCTTCCATGACCGCGGTAATAAATGAACATATCACACGGTCGTGAGGAGATTCATCGTCTAACCGTGAATGTGGCAAAATTCTTATCTTTTCCCATGGTCGTGTGGACATCTATTATCGTCTTGCACGATTGCGGTCAAATTCTGATCACCCCTCGTGGCGGTGAACACATCGCTACATCGTCCCTCACGGTCTTATGGACATAGTAATCGCCTCCAGCGATTGTGGCAAAATGGTTATCTTCTCCCCCGGTTTGTGGAGATCATCATCGTCTTCCGCAAATGAAGCAAATTTCTCATCTTTTTCCATTGTCTTTTGGAAATTTATCGTGTTGCGCGATCACAGCATTATTAATTCTGATCATCCCTCGCGGCCGTGTGGAAATCATTGTACATCATCCTCAGTCATGTAGATATTGTAATCGCCTCCCACGGTCGTGAAGCCATTGTAATCGGCCCCTGCAATTGCGGCGAAATGTTATTCGTATCCCGCAATCCTGTGGATATCATCATCGTCTTCCGCGATCTCGGCAGAATTCTTGCTGTTTCCCAAGTCCGTGTGGACATTATCGTCATCTTCTGTGATCGCGGAAATATTCAAATCACCCCTCGCGGCTCCGTATAGATATCATTATCGTCTTCTGCGATCGCGGAAAATTCTAATCATCCCTTGTATCCGTGTGTAGACATATTATCAGTCTCGGATACGTCACTGTTGTCATGCTCGATTGCAGTAAATTGGAAATTCTAGGTAGAAATACAAAATTCATGCTTCCCGGATTGCCCGGTCAGTGGATAACCTGTTATATATAATGCAAGGGGCGCTACTGTTTGTTGTGCTTAGGGCGCTGACAGGGTCAAAAACAGGCCTGAGTTCCGTATAAGTCAAAACCTAAGATAAGCTAAGTTATTCTGACAACCTAGGAACAAATCAAATAAGTTTTTAACTTAGGCCAATCTAGGCTTTTAGAACATTGATTATAGTTTCGACAATTTGATTTATAATTTAATACCGTTAGGCCCAGACTTTGTTGGTTTGATGATCGCAAGGCCTAGTAAACAATAACTTAAGTTACCTCTGTATTTAAGACCACCTTTCATTTATGGGGATAAGTAGTTTTTGTAAATAATTCATTTAATATAAGTTGGTCTTTTCTAGTTCTTAAAATTCACTAATTCATAGGCTACGAGTATATTTTCCCCCATGTTTTGGAAATACTGTAGTCCTAGGCTGGGCCTAATTTAAAAAATAGGCTAGGCTAGTTAATTTTTGTTTACCTTTACGTCTTCCAAATGGTCCTGCAAAAGTTGTGTTCTTGCCGATTATGTTGTCATCGATGTATTTGATGAGTTTAGTAGAGTCTTCTTTCTTCACAAGGGTTTGGGACTTCAATTTACTACTCTTTATGGCATAGTCTTCAGGTAAGGCATAAAACTTTCTACTGCCGAAACTTTTCTTAACAGCTGACATTATTACACAAGAACGGCGTGGCATTCATTCACAATTAATTTACACAATATTCTAATAGAAAAAGAAACTAGGGTAAAATTATTAGCCCAGAAGGGCGTAATCTCATGTAAACAGATAACCCAACCTCAAAATGAGTTCTCTGATTATCACAAAAAAACTCAAAGGCGTTTAATATGACACAACACAACACTACTTGAGTTTATTCACTTCCACACTGCTTTCTGCTACAAACGCTAGCGCAGCTGAACGCGTCACGGAACGAACTGGAATCTTGGAAACTCGGAACACCGAACTGAATTCTTTTCTCTAGCAGTATTACCAACTGCCGTTGCATCGTTTCGCTCAGCATAATTTCCCATCAACACTTAAAAAATCCCTCTCAAATCATCTATACCTTGCATAGCAGTATACTTTATTTAGTTATTATATTATACATCTCCCACAATTATTCTATGTAAAATCTAGTCTTTAGCATTGACAAAAAAGATTATAAATAGATATTGATATCAAAGATTAGTTTCAGTTTCTTATGTGATCAGAAAATTCAAATCAATGAATGTACTAAAGTGTTTTGTTTAGTAACTCAGGGGCGCGGTTTTTCTAGTAAACAAATCATACTAGTTGTCAAAAAGTGCACCTGAGCTGGAAGCCTATAGATTCAAGTCCCCTTCAGCTACGTGATATTGAGCAGATAAATGGATGGGCATCGCCATAAGCTCATGGTTCACAATTGCCTCCGGAATTCTAAATGTCAAAACTAAGAAAAGGTCTCCAAGACAAAAAATCTCAATTTTGGATCAAAAGTGTAATTAATCTGTCTATTCAGGCCCCTTCGGCTCCACATGTGGTGCAGACCCTACTAGAACCGTACCTACTAGTAGGCTTCTGTTTTTGGAGGGGGGGGGGTCGGGTACAGAATACCCCCTCAAACTAAAATTCAGCCACGTAGCCCATGTTCATTTGGATACTTCAACAAGAAACATTCCATAAATAAACCTACCTCAACTATATCACAGAGGTACCTAGTTAGTATGAGAGCTAAAAAATGACATTTTCTTGTCGCAGGAAAGTAACAGTAGCTATATCACCAGGGATTTTTTTTTTATTTTCAAAATAGTGTTACTTAATAACATTAAATTAAAGGTGTATATTTTTTATTTGATTTTGTATAAAATTATAAAAATGTGTATGAGGCTGTGATATCAGTATAGCCAGCCTTGTATAAATAACAAGCTTTTTACTGTTGTTTATCATAGCAACCATTGGAAAGTCAAAGTAGCAAGCAGGCAAGCAGGTGGACTTATTGAGGATCATCTGCAGTTTAGTTGCCATAACAACCACACAAGAGTTGTTTATATTTTGTTTTGAAATGTCAAATTCGTAGCTAGCCAAACCGTTGAGAACAAAGTCTGATAATCAATAAAACCTCACAAATCCTCATTGAAAATCAGTTTGCTGTAGATCAAACAAAAACTTCTATCCACTGTACCTGGAACTTGTTTATCAAATTCAAAACTTCTTGTTTACAGTACCTACAATGCTTAACTTCCAAGTTACATTACCTCAAGATTTGAAAGAGGCAGCTAGAATTGAAAAAGCAAGACAGAATGAAGAAGAAAGAAAAGCAAGGATTTTCAATTCAAGACAGCGTTTGATTGGTGTTAGTAGTTTGGGTGTTCTTAATGTTGTTTTGCACCCCTCTTAACTTAATTTATTTTCACTTGTTTTGGGACTTTAATTGGAGACAAAAATAGTTGATTCCATCTTTGCTACTCCAAAGAAAAGAGTTCATTAGTTTTTTCTTCAAATTACTCCAAAATAATCTGTACTACCAGTGGTTGAGGTTTTAATTTTTAAATATGTTATAGGTAGATCTTGAAGGACTCAAGAAGCAGATAGAAGAAAAGAAAACACGGGAGGAGGAAGAGAGAAAAATAGAAGAAGCTTATGTAAAGAAACAAATTAGAGATAGTGAAATAGCAAAACGTCTGGAAAGTCAAATTGAAGAGGTAAGCATCATATGGGATCTAAAGTTTGAGACACACCATCTAAGGAAATATATATAAAACTCACAAATATCTTCAAGGCTTGATTTCTTAAAAGTTAAGTAACCCAAACTAAAACCAATCAAACTTACAATCTAGCTAAGAAATTTGTATCTTTATTCCCCCTTGTGTAGCATCTTGAGGGGATCTTATGAATTATCACAAGTTCTTGACTCTGGGATAACTCCAAGAAAATACCTTCATACTTTTTTGCATTGGACCATCTTAACCCTTTCCACTCGGATTAGTTGACCCCTTGTTGTCCCATACGCTTGCATTTATTGCCATGCAAAAAAACATGTTTTAAGTTTTGTGTACATATACTGACTAAAATAAATTATTTGTTGTACTTGAGGGCTTGATTCTTATTCAGCATAAAATTGTACACAAGTAAAACAAAATATCAAAATAAATATACCCATAAAATATTTTTTGTGTGGTCATAATATAAAAAAAAGCAAAATAAAATGTACAAAATATTTTTTAGGAGGCTTTTTAAAAAACGTTAACACATTTTCAGGATTTGTAAAACACTTTATCAACATTAGATATCTAGTTGCCAATTCAAATCAGCCATTACAAGAAGGATTAGGTGTATTTTTAATGAAAAAATGCATTTTCAAACTTAGATTTTTTGGTGATTTTGGTCGTCATGGTTACTATTTACACTTCTCTATTCTTTAATCCACAGCTGACTAAATAAACTTACAATTATTTTTCAAGCTACCAAAGACATGTAAAATGAATAAGGAAATCATAAAGTTTGTATTCAACACAAATTCAAAACATGCAAACACTATATAAAAGGGATTTATTAATAAAAAGCCGATGCTGAAAATGTCGCGGCGGCCGCGACATACGAGTGGAACGGTCAGACGTGAATGTCGCGGTAGCGGCGACATACGAGTGGAAAGGGTTAAACTGTCAATATTTGTTATTTGTAATCCTTGTATCGGTGTACTTGTACAAAGAAGTGCCATCCAAAGCCAAAGTATTCTCTAGCCAGAGTGTTCTCTTTCTGTGCAGAACAGACGCAGATTGAACGAGGATGTCAACGAGTTTCGCAAACAGTACCAACGGGCGGAAGATCGTAGAGAGTTTGACCTCTACGACCCTGACGGACTGAAGAAGAGTTTGCCCTGTCGTCTTCTCGATGATGACCCTCGTCTCAGTATTTCTTCAGCTCAGAAGTGTGTTTTGTATCTTTAGTGCAATTTTAATAAAATTTTACTTTGCGAATAACATTGGATGGCTTGAGGATCGTATTAAAATTAATCTGAGTGGGAATATTGGTTAAAACAGAGAATGGGCCCTTGGTCCTATTCTTGCGTTTGTTCATAATTAATTATTGCGGTGATTGGTCACTTTAAACTGCTGCCTCACTGAATCCACACTAGCTTAAAAAGCCAAATGGTGACAATTACATTTCCTTAGTGGTTTTTATCAAAATTTCTGTGTAATTGAATTAGGTAGTTTACATAAATCAGTCAACACTTTCAAATTTTATTAGTGTAGGCCTACTTTTGCCTTATTTTAAATTAGCGAGTTTTCAATCTCCGATAAATAAACAATTACCTACGGTATTTTATCAACATAGAAACTATTAACTCAAGGGAAATTAAATTAAACAACAGTTGTACCTACTAATTATCACTTTTTTAAAAGAATTTTTTTTTAATTGCAGTGCTAGATATATAAAAAAGTGTGATAAAGAACTTAGACACAGCATGGGAATTAACAGTAAAACATGAAATATCAATAGGAAACTTACACAATATATATTAACCTGGAGGACCCTTGACAAGTTATCATACAGTAGTTATTTATCGTTAAAATTACTATTATATCCAATATTACTTAATTTACTAATGCAAATTTATTATATTAGTTTGATATTTACCAGGTTTGAAGGGGAGGACCTCGCTACCGAGGCTCGTAAAAAGATACAAACCGAGCAACAGAAGGCGTGGCTCGAACAACAGATGTTGGAGCGATGTCGCGCCGACAAGGAGCGAGAAGAAGCTGAGAATGTTTACCACGAGGCACTAGTCGCACTAATCTTTTGGTGAATTACACTACAAAGCAATATTGTGAAATGGTATTAAAATCAAAAGTTTAGAACTAAATAATAGAAGATTTTAAAGCAACAATAAAACAAAAAGTTAGCTACATTAACAAAAGAGGAAAAAATTCTTTGGCGCAAATGATTTTCATATTCGCTTCTTCATCTATTTCCTCAAGTATTTACGTGACATTCGAGAGATAGGCCTAACACACAATCCTAAGCCTCACGCGAAAACATACAAGATGATTTATCAAACATTTTTACAACAACAATATTTAAGTCTCACAACCAACACAAATACACTAGTACAAAAATTGGAATGCATAAAGAAATTCTAGTTTGGGAACAAATAGTCTATGTACAAAAGCTCTGTTACAGTTCAAGCGTCTTCCCCTACATTTTTGATTGACTTCCATATATGTTTGAGGGAAAGCAACACAGGGATCATCACAGGCAGAAACAATGGTATGTAGACAGCGTATTTCTGATCGTCCGGAAAGTACAGAAGAGCCAGGAGCGACGGATGGCTGAAGGCGGTCTCTGCTGTCACGTAGGCTCTTCTCGCGGAGATGATGGCCTGCTGAAGATGACCTAGGGATAGCCGAGTAAGCGTAGTGGTGACTGAATCTACCGAAGTGTGAATAGCGTCTCCAACTTCTTCGTTATTCAATTCGTTATTCAAAGTCAATTACAAGTCTGGTTCAATTAAATGTATTGTCTACCTCAAAGTATATATGTGTCATCTGGTTCTCATAAATTAAATGTCTATTTGCAGTAGCAGTATCCTAAATCAATAGTACGCCAGCTTCACAAAAATGAGAAATTTACTTGCAGTATCCAATGTCAATGGTCCATTTGGTTCACATAAATAAGATGCCTATTTGCAGCATTCAAAGTCAATGATACGTCGGGTTCACTTAAACGAATTGTTTACTTGAAGTATACAAACTCAATGGTACATATCGTTCACATAAATAAATTGTCTACTTGCAGGATCCAAAGAAATGGTTAATTTGATTCCCATAAACGGAGTGCCGATTCGCAGTATATTAAGTCAATGTTACGTCTGGTTCACGTCAATTAGTCGACCGTTTAAAATTCCGGCTTTCTTTTAAAAACACCCTGTACTTCATAAAAATTTATGTAAATAAATGACAATGACCTTTATTTTGAGTTATGTTGAAATATTGAAACGCATGTGTGTAAATTAATATAAGGTGTATATCATATTTAAGCCTTTTTAATACTTAAACTGCTTATTGATTTTTCATGAACTCAGAATGTTGATAAGGAGCTAATTTTACCTTCCCCTTGCAACAACATAAAGAAAATATATTTGTGCCCCTGTTAGTCTGTTCTGGCTCTAACTTCATACATTTGCAGTTTTCTAAATCCAATATGAGGTCAGAGAGGTAAGAGGTTTTGTTCTTATATCATTTTTGTACTTGGGGATATATAATATATCCAGATTATATATCCTGACTTGGGGTCCTGTAAAAAGTTTGATTATCTATTAAACATTTTTTTTCTAACAGTCTTATATAACAATGTATGTATATTTGTAAATGTATTTCACATGACATAATTGCATATTGAATGTTTTAGATCTAAGTTGTGACGATTGTAAATACACTGAATTTTTGTGTTTCAATGACAATAAATCTTCTTGATTCTTGATATTATATATGATTCTAACTTAAATAATACGATTATTACCCAAACACACCTAGGTGTTAGGACATTGCCAATAAACTCGATAAAATTAAAAGCTCTAGGTGCTGAAGATGTATATGTAGAAATTATCAAATCTGTTAGCCCATATGGATAAGGAGTAATTACACAATCATCAAATATGAGCCTGGCCTCTGGGGTTTTTGCTAACAGTTGGAAGATTGCGTACGTGAAACCTTTGCCTAAAGCTGCTGCGCCAAAAACCAAACCGCAGGTAAGACCTATCTCTGTTTTACCTGCGATTTCAAAAATACTGCAGAAGATAGTAACGGAACAAATCGCTTTATTTCTAGATGAGTATCATATACTGTCTAAGCTACAGTCAGGGTTTATAAGAAACCACGAAACTTGTACTGCTGTGACTAATTTGTTTGCTGATACCTAGTCTTTGAAGCCAAAGAAAAAGGTCTCTATAGCATATTACCTATTCGACTATATTGAAAAATAAGTACGACAACGAATTTAACACAAAACTGCCTAATACAAAAGTTTACTTTATTAAAATTATTACATTTTTTTTAGAGTGTTTTGAAGTCGGTTGTATTTTTTACAAAAATAAATTATTTTATGATTTTTAGTGACTGTATATATTTATATATTAATTACTTGAGGTTTTTTGATAAGCAAAACTGTTTGAAACAATCAAAAGTTCCACAGAACAATCATTTTTTTTAAACTGCTTGAGTCACATGTTCAGGTTACATAATCAATGGGTATGAAAATACACAGTTTTAGATATTCCTTAAGAAAGAAAGAGTTGTCCATTACATTAGGCCTAATGAAAAACTAATTGTCTTTTCTAGATACATTGAAATGTCGGACATCATCGTTTCCTGCAATCGGTGTACTTCTACATTATAAAAAGAAATACAGTAACGGCTCAAGCCTTTTGGAACAATATGAAAGTTATTCCTCAGCCACCAGCACTAAAAAATCTCTCAAAAGTGGAAAATTGGTCGTTAACATGTATAGTCCCTTTGGAAAATATTATATGAAAGATTGGTTCAGCTAAAAGTGGTGTAAGTCATGTAGGGGGTTTTGTTTGCTCAAGATATAGCCTAGTCGAAATTGCAAATCATCTTCCTCTAGGACTTTCCGAAGCAGGCATAATAGTATTGATATGTTATAGTAACTGGGTAGAGAATATTAATAAACATTCCACATCTGCAAATGAAATATGTATATGAAAGATTGGTTCAGCTAAACGTGGTGCAAGCCATGTAGGTGGTTTTGTTTGATCAAGATATAGCCTAGTCGAAATTGCAAATCATCTTCCTCTAGGACTTTCCGAAGCAGGCATAATAGTATTGATATTATATAGTAACTGGGTAGAGAATATCAATAAACATTCCACATCTGCAAATGCATGTTTAGTAATTAAAATATTTAACACTTTTAAGACAATTGACGATTATGCACTGTCACACTTCTTAGGTCGTGTAAGGAATAATTGCATTTAATTTATATTTAGACCTGTTTTACGAATGCTTTGGTTTTCACAATGCACCTTTATTTGTCAATATCATACAGCTATTCACTGAAACATATATGTTTTTGTAAGTCAGAATATTCAATACTAAAAACAGAATTACTGTATACACAAATCAGGTCAAACGTTAAAATACATTTTTTATAGTAACCAAAACAAAATGCAATTTTCTCAATGTAATTCATTTAGGCTCCATGGCAAGAAATAGTTTATTGATCAATATGAAGCAACTGTTTCATGAAGAATTGTCTGTAGCTTCATTTAAATGGTTTCAACTAACAGCTGTAGGAATGTTATTATTATTTATTGCCTTCTCTACACAAATGTAAACAATCTGCACAAATGTAAACAAAATAAATGTTGAATATTTAAGGTTTTCAGAATTTTTTACCAAAACAAATATTATACTTAAACATAATATATAAGGTACCAAAAAGAAACTCTCCTGGTTATTTTGGTGGTGGAACCACACTGATCGGTAAAAGAATCAAAGAGAAATTGGTGAACATACATAGAAAAAAAAAAAAACATCGCCACAAACAAATTGAGAACCTCCTCCTTTTGTTGGTAGCGGGGAAGTCGGTTAACAAAAAACTAACATTTGGATTATGAGTTAAAATTCTGGTGACGCAATAACAACGATAAATATACAGAAAATCAAAACAAATTGAAGACTGGTACACAATCATCACATGTTTGATTTTCAGCGTGGGATGAATATAGATAAGTTCATATTTTATTTGGATTGTGGTCGAGTTTTGACCACTGGACGACATCAATTCTTATATTAAAGTACTTTACTCATTAAGGTACTTCAATAATACCTAAATGATAAATACCTTCTATTTAACTCAAATAAAACAATCTGGTATTAGGTATAGATGTATTTACTCAAAAACCTATTTCTATGATAATTTAGTCACGAAATCCAAATGTTTAGACCTATCTATAGATTATATCCGCTTGTTTGGATCATACAAGTCTAGATAGTATTTTTAAAATTTTAAATATGGTATTTTTTTTATTAAACCCATTATGCACTACAGACATTTTGCGTACAATTTACTTTGCTAACATACACTCTCATATTTGTTACGGAATAAAGATTTATGAGGGAACAAGTAATTGTAACCATAATCAAATTTTATATTTACAAATGAATGCTACAAGATGAAACCTTAACCTAAATTAATACTGTTTAAATTTTTTCCGAAAATAGGAGATGAAAAATAGTGGAAAAAAAGGCACTACGACTTATTTGCGTTGTGCATCACGAATATTATGTAGAAAAAATTTCGAAATTTCGTACATACAGCTTAAGAAGTTAAGACTAAATATTTTTCATAGTTTAGAAATTTTAAAACGTGAACTAATACTGTATTTCCTTAATATTGTTGTTGGAAGACGGCAATTGCTAAAATACTGTTCGCGTAAACTAATTCATTCACCTCATGGTGGTCATCTAAGTCGATTATTGGACAAACTAAAAGTCTTACGAAAAAATGTTTGGAACAAAAATTGAAGAACGTCTTATTATCTATACTTTTCTCGCTGAAAGTTTTCATCTGACCAAAAAATAAAAAAAATCCTCGCTCACTTACTTTTTCATGTTTACATTGAACAACCTTTTCATATTTTCCATTATTAAACATTAATCATCTGCACGAACTAAATTGTATTTATACAGGGTGTTGAAAATGTCTGGAACCAACATTATATCTGGTGAGTGGTTAAAGAAAAACAACTGATATTTTGTGTACGGATATACTATGGTTTTACCTATCTTTTGGTGCCTATGGTAAATGATACATCATTTTAAAGGCCATTTTTTTTTTAGTAAGAAGCCACAAGTTTCATCTCAAAAGGACAACCCTAGCGAAAATGGCGACTGTTTGAAGTTTTTGAAAATAATTGAAAGCTTAATTGGTATTTCTGTTAAAAATAAGTTTATTAAAACAACACAAACAATTTAGTTAAATTTTAAATCTTATTCAACACTTTAAAAGTCATTTTTCAGTTCACCACGTGATAAACTACTGTACTTCGTAACTGGCTTGTAATAGCATTATTAAAGGAAACAAATTCGGACCATTTAAATAGCAATGTTTTTAAATTTCAAACCG